ATGCAGAATGTATTTGAGGAAGGTATGATGGAAGGTATAACCATAACCCTAGTTAAACCAGGAAGAAAAGATTCGTTCTAAGGAAACTGGGACACACACACACACACACACACACACGAAGTGGCTGCAAAGATGGAGGTAGGTGGCAGGAGAAAGGCTCACCCTAGCCTTCCTAGAAGCAGGTGCAAAGGAGAGAGTGTGGGGTTAAATCCCTGGCTAGTGGATCACAGAAAGCAGGATCGTTCCTGGGGAGCAAACAGATTTTTTTTTAAGTGTGTTTATTTCATCTACTTGAAAGACAGCGCAGCAGAGAGAAATCTTCATCCGCTGGTTCACTCTCCACAAATGTCTATAAGAGCCAGGGCTGAGCCAGAATGAAGGCAGGAGGCTGGATCTCTATTCGGGTCTCCCATGTGGGTGGCAGGGGCTCAAACATTTGAGCCATCCTCTGCTGCCCCAGGAGGTATTAGCAGGGAGCTGGATCAGAAAAAGCAAAGTAGCCAGGACTCCAGCTGGCACTGCAGCTGGGAGATGTAGGCATCCTTTGGGGCAGCTTACCCGCCACGCCCAACACCTGCCCCGCTGGGATCCCATCCTAGTGACAGCCCTTGTCCAGAGGTGTCTGAAGGGACCTGCCATTCCTCCACCCTGTCTTCTCCAAGATGCCGATGTGGCCCTCAGACAGCTCCCAGGCGTGAGCCTCAAGGGGCAGTGACACTCCCCACCACTGTGGACACCGCTAGAGTCAGCCCCGATATCAGCAGCTTCCATGGCCATGGGGTCTGCACCTGCACATGGATTTAGCCAATCACAGACCGGAAATATTTTTCTTAAAACTGTGTCCAGGAGCAGGCTTTGTAGCACAGGGGGCTACGCCACTGCTTGGGACAGTGGTACCACACACTAGAGTGCTGGTCTGAGTTCCCAGCTACTCTGCTTCAGAGCCGGCTTCCTGCAAATGCAGCCCGGGAAACAGCAGGTGATGGTTCGAGTGCATGGTTCCCTGCCACCCACCTGGGAGACCCAGAATGGAGTTCTGGGCTCCTGGCTTTGGCCTGGCCAGCCCTGACTCTTGCAAGCATTTGGGAAGTAAACCAGCAGATGGAAGATCTCTCTCTGTCTCTCTCAGTATGAGTCAGTCTCTCCCTCCCTCCCTCCCTCTCCCTCTCCTTCTTCCTAACCCTCTCCCTCTCCCTTTCAAATGAATAAAAATAAATACTTTTTTAAAAACCTACATCCATACTGAACAGGCACAGACTCATTTTCTGGTTGCTCCCAACAACACAATATAACCACTGTCTACACAGCACCAGCCGTGTACTCTGTGTTCTAAGTCATCCGGAGATGATTTACAGCAGGCAGAAGGGTGTGTGAAGCTCCTATGCAAATACCACTGCGTTTTACCAAAGGGACTTGAGCATCTGCTGACTTGGTATCCACAGGGGTCCTGGAAACGTCTAGAAGGACCAGAGTGCGCGCTCTCTCTCTCTCTCTCTCTCTCTCTCTCTCTCTCTCACACACACACACACACAGCACAAAACACCCTAGAAAGACAAGAGTGTGCACAAACAGGCAGCACAGAATACCCACAGTGATCACCTCTGGAGAGGAGGAGGGAGCCGAGACGGGTAGGAGAGAGCTGGCCTGTAGGGACTTAATTTTAAAACATGAGGGCTCCAGTGCCACCACGCAGGCGATTCTGCCAGTGCCAGGCTAGCAGGAGCCAAGGCCGAGGCCCGGCTCTCAGCGTCTGGCTCGGCCTGCAGGGAGTGGGGGTGGCAGTTAAGGCCTCCACTGTGCCAGCCAGCGCGGCTTACCGCGCCCCAGCCACCGTGTGAACCCCAGAGAAGGCACAAGGCTCAGTTTCTTCTGTAAACTGAGGCACGAGTGAACCCTTTGCTGAGGACTGTGTGGGATGCTGCAGCCCTTGGTTTTGTCCAGCGAGGTGACTGACACCTGTTCCCTCCGAAGGGCCTCCCACTCTGGTGACTCTCAGCTCAGACTCACCCGGAGAGGGGGCTGAATGGGACCTACAGGGTGCTGTGCATCTCCACGCCTCCCGCTCTCCAGGCGCCCCCCTCACCTGCCCGACCCCCGCCTTGATCTGCCCACCTCCTCCTGTGTCCTCTGGGCCACCTTGGTAATCTGAGCAGATCAGATGGTGCTCCCGACTGTTGCCAGAAGGGAGCCGACAAGTGTGGCTAGGCAGACACCCCATCAGGAGAGCCTGGATGCTCACCCCGGGCTGCGCTGTGCATAAAGGCCCGCACTTTCCACCCCTTGCAGGGAGAGCGTTTCTGTCTTCCCTGGTGGTAATTTGGCGGAACCAGTCACTGAAAGCCGCCCGCGCCGTCCTTGGCGAAGAGCTATTTCCTGATTAATTCCCAGCACGCGCTTGCTCTGTGTCTGCACTAAACAGAGAACACATCCGTATAAACATGTAGAAGAGTGCTTTGAGAATCGGCGTTTCTGACAGCCGGCAAATAGTAGCCTGCCGTCCCGCAATTGGGTGATTGAAGCGGCTTCCCGGGGAGCTCCCCAGCCTCACGCTTCTCGTGCTGAATTGAAACCTCTCTGTTTCAGAGCACCCGACGTTTCGCCCGGCATTCAGGAGGGCCAGAGGGGTGCTCGGCATATAGTGGACATCTCTGAGGTCACAGAGCGGGGAGCCGGATCGGAAGTGGAGCAGCCAGGACTTGAACTGGCGCCCATGTGGGATGCCGGTGTCACAAGCAGCAGCTCAACCCACTGCACCAAAACGCAGCGCTGTAGTGGAACCTTTTTTAAGGTTTGAAAAGACAGAGTTTGGCCAAAATGAAGTAAGAATGCTGTCTGGGGCACGCGGAGGCTGCGAACCGTGACAGAGCGAAAAGCAGCCACGTGGGGCTTGGTGAAGAGGTCGGGGTTGGAGATCCGAGTAATTGGGGGGTCATGTACGAGACACGTGGTGAGGGGGTTCAGGAAGACTGGGAGCCCCGGGTGGAACCTGGCGACAGCAGCCCACTGGGTCAAGGCCCAGCCAGGGAGCTTGGGCAGGGACAGCCAGTGAGGCAGGAGCCAAACCTGGGGAGCTCAGCGCCACAGCAGCCCGGGGCAGGCAGTCATTTGAAGGGAAGGAGTGGCTAGCGGCACACTGAGCTGCCGTGCCTCCCAAGCGCCAAGAATTTTCCACCGGCTTTGGCAGTCCACAGGACCCAGTAGCAGGACACTTGTGAGAGTAGAGCGATTCCCCGAGGACGGCAGGCGTCCATCAGACTCGTCCTGTCCGGGATAAACACAAAGGCAGCATGTCGCCCTCCTTATCCGTGCCCTGGGCAGGCGGTGGCCGCAGAGCCGCAGGGACAGCAGCAGGGAGAGCGACCCTGGAGGGGGATGGGCAAACCTCAAGAGTGACTATGCTAAGTGGGAAAAGCTGGCCACACCCAGTCCTTTCCTATGAAATGCTGGAAAATGCGGATGGTCCATGGATCCACCGTGATGTGAGGTGGCTGGGTGGTGCCCCGGGCTGGGGGCGCGGAGGCAGGGAGGGAGGGGCGACGGGGGTGCCAGGAAGCTTTGGGGGTGAAGGTATATGCTCAGTCTCTCGGATACGCACGTGGTTGTGTGGGTGTGCGTGCTTGTTAACGCTCACCAAGTTGCACGCTTGAGACGGTTTCCTGCGTGAGGTATGTGTTCTCTTCCTCCATAAAGCTGTAAAACGAAGAGTTTTTCTGTGAAGAGGAAGAGACGAGCTGGGCTGTGACAGGAGGAGGTGGGGCTTCATTTTAGGCACAAACAGAGACGCGTAGAATTCCTGCGTGACACAGGAGCGCTGTGGTTGGGGGAGGAGACAGGAAGGCGAGGTGGGGACCCTTTCGTGAGCCATGTGCTGTGCTGGTGGGTTGGGATGCAGCCCATCTGCCTGAGCTCTCCGCGTCCCTACGTGAAAGGAGTCCCCCGGAGACTGCCATCGTGGCCATGGCCTTGGTCCCCACGCCCGGTCCCCGTAGCTTGCCCCTGGCTGCAGCCACAGCTGAGCTGGGACAGAACCAGGTGTGGTGGCTGCTGCAGCTGCTTAGCCCGTGCCCTCGGGGGCAGCCTCCAGCAGCAGTGAGTGCGTGCCCCAGCCTCCCAGACTGGGGAGGGACGATCATGGGTGCCAACTAGGGGTTCCTCAGGGAGCCACGGTTGCCCACAGCTGTGCCAAGCTCAAAAGCACGTTTTGGGGGCAGGCGTGGCGGCACAGCAGATTAAGCCGCTGCTTGGGATGCCTGCATCCCATATCAGAGGGCCAGGGTTCTGGTCGCGCCTCCACTTCTGAGCCAGCTTCCTGCTAATGTACTCCCAGGGAGGCAGCAAGTGCTCGGGTCCCTGCCACCTGCATGGGAGACCTGGGTGGGGTTCCTGCTTCCCGGCTTCCATCCAGCTCTGGCTGTTGTGGGCTTTTGGGGAGTGAACCAGAGGGTGGTGGAAGGTCTGTGTGTGTGTGTGTGTGGCATCTGTTCTCAAATTTAGAATCAAAGGAAACACGTTTGGGGCTCTCTTTGGCCCCTGAGCTGCCAAGCAAGCCGCCCTGTTTGTGGGGTGCCCAAACAGGGACATGTGTGGAGCCCAGCAGGGGCACACCAGGCCTCCCTCATGCAGACGGCCCAGGAACACTGCTAGGGGCACCGGCAAAGCACAAAGGGTTTCACTATGGGGCAGCGCTGAGGCCGATCTGCGCTCAGAGAAAACAACCTCCAGGGCGATGCGACATTGAGGCGGAAGCAGCGAGAGCCCTTAGCAGGCCATCAGAGCCATGCCGGCGGGAGGCGGCAGCCGAGTCCGGCACTCAGGGAGCCTGTAGCAGCCGGCGCAGAAATGAGACCGAGCCTTATTTAACATCCCCGGGGCCGGAGCCTTCCCAAAGCCCACGTCTCTAGCGTGTCCCGCTTTGCTTTTCCCCCGTCTTTCCCTTACGTGGCATGCTACATCCAGGTGAGGCCTCATGTCTTCATTTTCTTGCAATTTTGTGTCCCCAGGATCTGGACATCGGTGCCAAGGACGTGAGGCTTTATGTCAACGAGAGCCTCATCTTTGCCGGCGAATTGGACAGAGGCGGCGGCGAGGCCCCGGCCGACCCTCGAAGCGTCCTGGTGGAGCTGAAGAGCGAGAGGGCGGAGGACACGGCGGGCCCCAGGGTGGCCGGCACGGCAGGGGCCGGGGACCTCAGTGGCACCTGCTCACAGCCAGCCGAAGCAGCCATGGTGGGCGCCACCGCCTCTTCACAGGGACATTTATTTAGCCAAAGGACGGATTCTGCTGATGGCTGGAAAGACGTTTTGCCCACCGCAGGAGAGGATTCAGAGTCATTGGCAGCCCCCGTGGGCACGAGCGATGCCCCCGGGGCCCCCTCGCCCTCCCCGCCAGGGAAATGCCCTCCCCTGGATGCGGAGCCCTCCGGGATCCAGCAACTGGAGAACCTCACGGGCCGGAAAACGCCTGCGCCGCCGGGGAAAACACCACCCTGGCTGCAGCCTTCTCCCAGCGGGCAGGGCAGAAGGCAAGGAGGCAGGAAGCCGAAACCCCTGTGGCTCAGCCCAGACAAGCCGCTCCCAGCACACAGCGAGGGCCCTGGAGAGACGGAGGCCGAGGAGAGAGGCCTCCAGCCGGAGCCAGGGCGGGTGACCAGCTGGAGCGTCCTCGCCGGGGAGAGGCCCTCGCGGGGGCCCCCCAAAGGCTGCGGGGATGATCTCGACATCTTCGCCCAGCCCCCCACCAGGGAGCGCCCTGCCAGTGGGAGGAGGAGCGCGAGGAAGGAGGCCCTGGGCAGTGGTCATGGGGACGAGCAGCCGGACAGCAGAGGTGAGCTCCGACCCGGCACCGTCACGTGCCAGTGCCCCCTGGTGGCTCCAAGCTGCGTGGCTCCCTGGACCCGGATCCCGGCGTGGGGTCATGAGACCAGAGGCGGTGTTCAAATGGAAGAAGTAGGCAGGAGGCAGTGTGCATGTTAAACTCCTAGGTGGCCTCGTCATTACGGAGATACGTCCTTGTGCCCGTTTTCTTATAAGACATTCCCCAAGCCCCATCTAGAGGCTGCTGTTCTGCCCTCGATAGATTCAGTGATCTCCAGTGCCCTGACTTTACACTCAGTTGTGCTGTCAGAAAACTCACCTAAGCCCCATGAGAAATAGCAGCGGATTTCCCTGGGTGTCGGAAGCACTATAGGGAGTGGTGGGGACTGGGGCAAACTAGTGAGCGAAAGCCCAGCTGAAGGGGCAGCCGCTGCTCCACCCAGGCCTCCTGTGGGCTCCAGGAATGGCAGGCGAGTGTGCCAGGCCCCCCTGCCTTTGTTCAAGAGAAGCCAAAGATGTGGAAAACACTGGCTTTTTCAACACTGGCAACTCACAGAGGTTATCTTTAAGCAAGCGTGTGTCCACACGGAAAGGCACAGAGCTCCCTGAGGGCGTGCTGGGCATCCCCAGCTCTGGAGGGAGGGGACTTCAAGGGCTGGGGGTCGGAGCAGCCGCCCTGAGGTTTCGCTCCAGGGAGGAGTGTGGCCTCGTGGCTGGGAGGCAAACGCATCGGCTGTGTCCACACGGGCCTGGAGCCTCTGCTTCTGCACCTGCAGTGACCCCCTGCAGCTTCCCAGGCCTTGGAGCAATGAGTGAGACGCTGGCGTCAAGGGTGTAGCCTGCGGCGTGGGGCCCAGGGCTCGCAGTGCTGCCGGTGGTTCCTGCGTGCGGCCTTTCTCAGAGTGCTTGGGTTCACTTCCCGCTCCGCTCCCCGTTCCAGCTTCCTGCTTCGCCCCAATGAGGCAGCCGGTGATGGCCCAGGGCCTGGGTCAGGCCAAAGTCGGGAGCCAGGAACTCCATCCGGGTCTCCCGCATGGGTGGTGGGGACACGAGTACTCGGGCCCTTCTCTGCTGCCTCCCAGGCCCGTTGGCAAGGAGCCAGCTGGGAAGTGGAGCAGCCACTGGCGCTCTGATCGGGGAAGAGGGCATGGTAAGCAGTGGCTCACCACGCTGCACCACTGTGCCCAGCCGTGATGCTTCTGTTTTTAATGATCCTACCGGCATCTGCTGTATTAGGGAGTGTCTGGTAGGCACTTAGATCCTGCCAGGGTCTGCCATTTAGGACATCAGAGCAAGGCCCTCAGATGCTCCGTGCCCTCCCGCAGAGCCAACCCCTGTGGCTCCCCAGCCTCACCGAGTCCCGGGGCCCACCCCTGCTGAGATTTAGCCCTGAGACTGGGTGTCGGGGAGGAGAGCAGACTGGGAGAGAAAGACCAAGAGGCACTTGGAGGGCAGGTCCCCAGCCACAGCAGGTCCTCTGCGGTCTGGGGAGGACGATGGGCAGGAGGAAATGCAGTGATTGGATGCACGGCTGTGGCGCAGGCGTGTTCCCCACGTGAGCACTACGCCTCACACCACAGCCCCATTCTACAGAGCAAGCCTGAAGTTCAAGTTGCTTCCCTAGGCGCACACAGCCAGTTAGGGCTGGAGCGGGATCTGAACCCAGGCAGGCCAGCCCCAGCTTCCATGCTTCATGCCTTCACCTTAAGGGGTCCTGGGAGAGCCAGACCAGTCCAAGCCCCCTGGGGAGCCTGTGGGGGTTGCAGGGTGACAGGCATTCCCGTAATATGCCTACATTCTGAAGACTTGGCCTCGCCTGATTTCTTCCCTGATTTCACTGCTCGGCTCATTGGCATGTTAAGAACCAAGCCCCTGAGATTCCATGCTCGTTAAGCAGGTCATGCTTTAAAAGGGAAGTTGTGTAGACATTTGGAGTTAACTCATTACCCAGAGCCAGATCCCTTGCAAGTGGGGAAAGGCACAGGGCAAGTCCTCCAACGACCCTCTGAGTTCCCCCCCCGGGATCCTGGGTCCAACAGAACAGCCGCGGGGATGACACCTGCGTCTCAGAGGGGCCTCCGCCCCAGGGCCAGTTGATGATGAGTGAATGAAATCTCATCGGCCCAGTTGGGAAGTAGTGAGGGGCCTGTAACCCAAAGGATGCTCAAAGGGCACTCACCCCAAAGGCAGGAAAGACGCTGCCTGTCGCTCAGGACTGGAGGGAGGAACCAGAAGCTAGCATCTGCCCCGTCTCTCCAAGGCTGCTCTGCCTCTCTGTGGGCCCACTTCCTCCCTACATGGGCTGTCTCTGCTCTAGCCCCACAGCAGGAAATGACCTCAGAGCCCTAGTGTGACGATGCCTGGGCTCCAGCGCCAGAGTCTCAGGGCAGAAGCTGATTGGTCCACTTGGGATCAGGTGTCCACTCATTGTCCAATCAGCAAAGGCAGTACCCTCAAAGTGCTTTTCCTCCTGTTTTAGCAGCAATTGAGGCACACCTCGCAGTGGTGCGATCAGCTTTTAGACATTCAAGTTCAGAGCTTAGTAGTTCCTATTCATCTCGCCCCGGGAGCATTTTGGAGTCTTGGGTCCCATCTCCTCATAATTAGCGGCCCCTCCCAGACTGCGCCAGCTGCAGACTGATTTCCGCTGTCCGTCCAGATGTAGGAGGGAAGCCTTGGCACCAACTGGGCAAGCAGTGACCCCAGCGGCTTCTCCACTCCCAGAGAGTAGCCGGTGGTGCAGGCACAGAGACACGTGGGGCCCCAGGCCACTGTCACGGCTCTGTGAGGTCCTGGAGAAACCCGGAGAGCACAAGGCAGGGAGAGTAGGTGAGGAAGCCACTGCAGAACGGAAGCCAGGGCCCTGCCTTTTCGCTGGTGCCCCCAAGGCAGAGAAACATGGGCCGAGTCGCTGCCTCGTGAGTTTTGCTGCTGTCGCCTACAGTGCCTGCGAACCAGCCCAGGCTGTTCACGCAGTCTGGGGAAGTCAGGTCACGTCAGCGGAAGTCCTGGCGCTCCAGATGGGGAGTTCCTTCTGCCAGCTGTTAGGGCGCGTGCCTGGGAGGAGAGGATGGAGGAACTGCTGGGATCTTTCCGCTGCACACGAGAAGGGGTGGGGCGAGGGAGAAGACAGGTGCAGGAGGGCTGCCAGGTGGCGGGGAGTCCCCTGGCCCGCAGGCTGAACCCAGGCGTGCAGAGAAGTGCTGCTAACCAGCCCTCTCTTTACCGACACACACTTGTGAAGCACTTCTCTGCACCGGCGGTGTGCCAGGGTGAGGTGGCAGAGAGGGCCTCTCCGAGGACGTGGGTGACTAGAAAAGCCAGCCAAGTGGGCACCTGGAGGTAGAGGGTATGGCGGGCGCCAAAGTGCGGAGGCAAGACGGGACCGGCTGTGTCCCCGAATGGAAGGGAGCGTGGCGGGAGCAGAGGGATCATGGGAGAGGCGCCAGTGGGGTGAGGTCGCAGGAGTCAGCAGGCACCTCATTGAGGCCCTGCGGGCATGGCTGTACTCTCAGTGCCAGAGAGAGCGTGTCGGTTAGGTATGTGGGGCTGGGAGTGGCGGAGTGGACGCATCTGGACCTCCGAGTGGTCGCTGGAAATGGCATAGGATCCAGGACTTGACACAGGAAATTGAGCGGCACCTACGTGGGAGCCAAGAGCTGGAGGAGGGCGAGAGACAGAGCGGAGGGCTTGGGATACTCTCGGACCTCGGGACACTCCCAGACCTAGGGTGTGGGACAGCGCACAGTTGTCACAGACCGTGGGTAGGTGTGGGGGAGCAGCAAGGGATGGAGCCTCCCAAGCCAGTGGGGGTGGAGGAGGGGAGGGAAGAAATAGCAAGTGGCAGAGCGCTGCCTGGGGTACCAGCATGGAGTGAGGACTGAGAGAAGACTGCAGAGAGCTTTCGGGAATCGTGGGATGCCTGTGTACGCGGTGGACAGGAAGCCCCCCAGGGTTTGACTTCAGACACAGCCAGATCTGGGAGCTCACATGATGTCATCAGGACTCTTTCCCAGCACCCGGCCTGCTACAGTGTGGCAGAGTAGCCCTCTGGCGACCCCGCGCGACTTCTGGCCAGCCCAGTTGAAAGAGAGTCCTTCCTTGAGCCCAGCTTGGGAGGGGGCTGCCAGCCTGCACCTGGTCTGCAGGGCTTGCGCCAGGAGGAAGGGTAGTGGAGTTGGGGTAGACAGGACCCTGGCACCACAGGGAGGAAGCAGAGAGCCAGGCGGGGTGGAGGGAGGAAACAGGACAGCGGCCAGCCCGAGCCCTGGGACCGGGTCTGCTTCCCATTCCTGTCTTCTCGCTTTGGGAAGAAAGATTTATGTGTGTCTGTGGGCAGGGAGGCAGCGGGTGTCGTGGGGAAGGAATGATGGAGGATCCTGGAGAGAAGTAATTGATGGACTCGAGCGCCTTAGGAGACAGGCAGGAAACGGAGAGCAGGGCCCAGGGCAACGTGAAAGGAGAGAAAACAGAACGTCAAGGCCATCAGCCACTGCTTCACTCTCTCCAGAGTGACACCGTGGATGGCGGGCGCGGCAGGGCTTCGAGAACAGGCTGGGTGTCGGGTGCCCCAGGCAGCGCCCTCTAGGGGCCGTACCCACCTGCTCCGCGTGCCATCCACCTGGCTGCTTGGCTTTCTTATAATAGCGTGGGTTCTTGATCATGAGACGTCCCTGGGAAAATGCCATTAGAAGCTGTGCACATTGTCCAAGGATGCTGCCTGAAGCTTCCTCGTCCGTGCAGGGAGCTTAGGAGATGAAGCAGTCGGAGGTCCCCGCTCCCCCGGGTTCCGCGGCCAGGCCTTCACCCCTCCTGCGACCTGTCTTCCAGGAGACACCTGGTCCACCAGGACCCCGCCGCGCTCCAGGTGGTGCAGTGAGCAGGAGCTCACGCTGCACGAGTCCTGGGACTCCCTGAGCGCCTTTGACCACTCCCACCGGGGCCGCATCTCCCACCTGGAGTTCCAGGGCGACATCCTGGACGAGTTCCTGCAGCAACAGAAAGGCAGCCGGCAGGGGGCGGGCCAGGACGGAGCGTCCCCCGGGCTGGACGTGCGGGACACAGAGAGCGATGCCCGTGCTGCCGACGACGACGGCGACAGCGACTTCCAGATCCCTGTCCTGCCTTACGGGCAGCACCTGGTCATCAACATCCAGTCCACCTGGGGGGACAGACACTACGTGGGCCTGAACGGGATAGAGATCTTCAGCGCCCAGGGGCAGCCCGTGCAGATCGCGAGCATCAGGGCGGATCCGCCCGACATCAACGTGTTGCCAGCCTATGGGAAAGACCCTCGAGTGGTGGGCAACCTCATCGATGGGGTGAACAGGACCCAGGACGACATGCACGTCTGGCTGGCCCCGTTCACGCCGGGCAAGCCCCACTACATCTGCATCGACTTCACGCACCCCTGCCAGGTCGCCCTCATCAGGATCTGGAACTACAACAAGTCCCGGATCCACTCCTTCCGCGGCGTGAAGGACGTCACCATGCTGCTGGACGCACAGTGCGTCTTCCAAGGCGAGATCGCCAAGGCCTCGGGAACCCTCATGGGAGGTACGGTGTGCCCGCGAGAATCTGCTCGAAGCCCCCTGCCCCCCGCCCCAGGAAGAAAGATAAGCTCACGGGGCCGGCCAAATAGATAGGTCTCCTCCCCTCCCACGGTATCTATGGGCGGGCTGGGACCCACCGCGCTTAAACGCCTCCTCCGAGTCCCTGTCTTAGTAGGGTTCTTCATCAAGAGGAACGGCTGTGGTTAGGGCTGCAAGGGTTATGGGTGCGGGGAAAAGCTGGCCTCCGCTGATCCCGATTGCGCTCTAGAAAGTGAGCAGATGACCCTTGCCCTGTCTCCCCACCCCAGGCTTGTGGATCATTGACAGGAGCCTCGGGTGCCCAAACTCACCCAGTTAACCTGGTGCTCAGGGGGCCTGAATCCCATTTGCAAATGTGCTAGGAGGATGAGGATCACAGAGCATGAAGGCTGATGGGTTTAGGTCAGGGGTGGGGCACGTCTGGCTTGCGGGCCATATTAAAGTCCCCCCCCAAACCCCTCGGTCTGGCCCTGCCCCAAGTCAACCGTAGGCGGAACCGTCGCCTAGTACGCCCCCTGCAGGCTCATTTTTCAGCTGGTAATTTTGCATGGCCCGAGAGTGATGTTAGAAATAGCCACACAGCCCTGAGTGCAAGAGAAGGCCCCCCCACCCCGGGGCTGGGGGGAAGGGAGAGGAAGGGGGGCAGCGGGGGTGGGGCTGGTTAGTTTCCCGATCTCTGGGCCCTCAATGTCTGGGGGTGGGGTTGACCCTTGGCCTTCCCGTTCCGGTCCGTGGTGCAGCCCCGGAGCACTTCGGAGACACAATCTTATTCACCACGGATGACGACATCCTCGAGGCCATATTCTGCTCGGATGCGACATTCGACCTGGACGTGGAGAGCCTGTGCCACCTGCAGCCGGACGAGGCCCTGCAGAGGCCCAGCACGGCCGACAGCGAGGGGGACGAGCGGCCCTTCACCCAGGCTGGCTTGTGGGCGGATGGCTGGGTAGGCCTGGGGCTGGGGGCCGCGGGGTGGGCACCCCACATGGATTTCCTTCTCCCAACCCGGAGGGCGGCGGGGAGAATTAAGATGGATATCCTTGAGTTGCTGCTGCTCGTGCTTTGACATCACCCATTTTTCTGCTTCATTTTCTGCCCCGTGTATCATATTTCACTCGCCTCGTTTTTTAAACCGAAGTGAAGAAAGTATTCAAATTTTAATCAAAGCCAAAAGAAATCATCTCTGTGTCATCTGTGTAATTTAGAGGTTGGCAGTCTCAGGGTAGGTTTTTCCCCCCCTGGGTTGCTTTTTGATCACTTGCTGTTGTTTTTGATGGAAAGACCAGAAATGCTTTTAATAGGCAGATTTAGCATTAAAATAAAGCTAATCACAGGGAAAGTTTCCTGAGTGTGCTGGTGAGCCAAGCCCAGGGCCCGGTGCTGCCGCGTTCAGCGCCCATGAGGCTGTTCCTATTAGAAGGGACGATTACCGTGCCCACGGAGGAAACAACCAAGGCTCAGACAGGTCACACGTGACTTCCCCCAGGGCGCATGTGAGAGTCCTGAGGTTTGAACTTGAATGCTGGATTCTAATCTGTATGCTTTTAAAACTGATACACGGTGGCCGGCGCTGTGGTGTATCGGGTAAAGCCGCCGCCTGCAGTGCCCGCATCCCATATGAGCGCCAGTTCGAGTCCCATCTGCTCCACTTCAGATCCAGCTCTCTGCTATGGCCTGGGAAAGCAGTAGAAGATGGCCCAAGTCCTTGGGCCCCTGCACCTGGCTCCTGGCTCCTGGCTTCAGATCTGCCCAGCTCCAGCCGTTACTACCATTTGGGGAGTGAATCAGCAGATGGAAGACCTCTCTCTCTCTCTCTGCCTCTGCCACTGCCTCACTAATAAATAAATACATCTTTTTATTTTTTTTTTTAATTTTTTGACAGGCAGAGTGGACAGTGAGAGAGAGAAAGACAGAGAGAAAGGTATACATCTTTTAAAAAAACTGATAAAAATTTGTAAAGATGTATTTATCTATTTGAAAGGCAGAGTTACAGAGAGGGAAAGACAGATAAAGAGATCTTGCATCTGCTGGCTCACTCCCCAGATGGCTGCAACAGCCAGGGCTGGGCCAGGCCAAAGCCAGGAGCCTGGAAACTCCATCCGGGTCTCCCAAAGCTGCCGCTGCTTTCCCAGGCTCATTAGCAGAGAGCTGGATGTGGAACAGAGCAGCGGGGACTCAGACTGGTGCTCATCTGGGATGCCGGCGTCACAGGCCATGGCTCAGCCAGCTGCATGGCAAGAGCAGCTCCCCGTAAATAAGAATTTGTAAAGTGAAGTAGGAGAGACCTGTGTGTCTGGGGACGTTGTGGCAGGTGTGAGGAGAAGAGGGAGGGGGTGGGAGCAATCCAAACCACTCTCTGGGGCTTGGACCCCCCCACCCCCACCCGCACCTCCGTCTACTCACTAGGGTTCTTTCTTGTTTGAGAAAACCTCGCGCCTTGCCAGGCAGCATCAGGCCCTTCCCCTGCCCCATAAGAGCCGCTGGTAACAAGGACTCAGATGCACAAGTGTTTCTGGGCCAGCCCAGGTCACTGGGCACAGAGCCTGCGCACAGGCCAGAAATGCAAGAAAAGACCTGAGTTGACCTGGGCACAGGGTGGGCTGCGCTCTGGGAGAATAGCAGGCAGCCGTGTGGGTGTCACTAAATCACTGGCCTTTCCCTCTGCTTCTCCCCCCGATTGGCGTGCAGGGCCCAGGACCAGAGCTGCCCCCCAGCGCCCCTGTCCCTGAAGTCACCACACCAGAGCCGGGCATCTACCACGGGACCTGTGAGTACCTCTCCTGGGGTGGTCTCAGGTGGAAGGAGGGCCTGCAGGGGCCGGGGGCGGGGGTGGGGAGCTGCGTGCCTTGGACAGTTGGGCGGGTCGTACACTGTGCAGAGAGACAGCAAACCTTGCGGCGAGCAGGCGCAGAAGCCAACCGGCGCTCCGCTCCGAGGCCTAGCAGGGCTACACACCCTCAGACAAAGCGGCCTCTTCCAGTTTGCCCTCCCAGATGGCGGTGTTTTTGCATTTTACATGCAGATGCACCGTGTATTAGGCTGCAGTCGGATCCCAGGGGTGCAGGACGAGAAGGGGTTCAAGCTGTGTCTTCAGACCCCTCACCGAGCAGTGAGACCCTGCATCCTCTGCGTGCACCCAGGCTGCCAGGCCCCCGGACCTCTCACAAGTCGGGAGTCCCGAGTTTAATAGGAAAGCTCCAAATTGTTACCTGTCGGTGCTACTTTATTGTTAAGATTTTATTTATTTATTTAAGAGGTAGAGCCACAGACAGAGGGAGAGACAGAGAGAGGGGTCTCTGTCCACTGGTTCACTCCCCAGATGGCTGCAACGGCCGGGGCTGTGCTGATCCGAAGCCAGGAGCCAGGAGCTTCTTCCGGGTCTCCCACGCAGGTGCAGGAGCCCAAGGACTTGGGCCATCATCTGCTGCTTTCCCAGGCCACAGCAGAGAGCGGGATTGGAAGTGGAGCAGCTGGAACTCGAAGCACAATGGCTCCCATATGGGATGCCAGTGTCACAGGCAGTGCTTTACCCGCTACACCACATCACCGGCCCTTGTTTATTTATTTGCAAGGCAGTGGGGGCAGAGAGGGAGAGACAGAGAGAGAGCTTCCATCTGCTGGCTCATCCCCAAATAACCACAACAACCAAGCCAAAGCCAGGAACCAGAAACTCCACCCATGTCTCTCACAAGGGTGGCAGGGGCCCAAGCACCCGGGGCCATCCTCTGCTGCTTTCCCAGGTGCATTAGCAGGGAGCTGGACCAGAAGTGGAGCAGCTGGGACTCGAACCAGCGATCCTTTGGGACGCTGGTGTCTCAAGTGGTGGCTTTGCCTGCTGTACCACAACGCCAGCTGCAATAGTCCCCCTCTTAATCCACACACACATCAGCACCTCCACGTCCTAAGGAACCCTCAGGCCAAGGTCACAGCTGACTGTGGGCCCGTTTCCACACCCTGTTAACAGGCGCCAGGGACACGATCCTGGCAGTCTGGCTTCCTTCAGTTTTTCCTGAAAACAAGAGCTGTGATGTTGTCACGCTCCCTCTCCCGCCTCCCCACCGCCCTCTCCCTCTAGACTGAAGCCGGAACATCTCTGAGCTCTGGCCCGAGCCCTTGCTCCCCTGGCCCCTCGCCGTCGCTGGACCTCAGCCTGGGAGGCCTTCCCTCTCCGCCCGCCGCTGACACTGCCTGTTCCCTGCTGGGCTGTGAGGTGGAGTTTTGGGGGAACGGGAAGCAGCCACATCAGGGCCTTGGGCAGCTGCACAGGGAGTTGGGAAGCAGGGATGGCCTGGGAGCTACCCAGGGTAGAGTGACAGGCAGGGTCCTTATGCACCTGTGTGCACACGTCACTGGGTGGGGCTGCCCGGGGAGGGGGTGGGGGGTTCTTCAGGCAGTGCAGCCAGCGAGGGACCCGGGGTGAGCTGTCAGGGGTCCGCCTCTCCAGCCACTGGAGGGCTGAGCCCTTGGATGCTGGGGTCAGATCAGTGCCCCCAGTGTCCCCCACACCCCTGCTTTTCCTCATCAACCCCACTGAAAAGTCACCTCTCCCTCCCCCTCTCCATGAGAACAAATCGTCTCTTAGAAAAGAGGACGCCGGCACCGCAGCTCACTAGGCTAATCCTCCACCTGTGACGTCAGCACACTGGGTTCTAGTCCCAGTCGGGGTACCAGATTCTGTCCCGGTTGCCCCTCTTCCAGGCCAGCTCTCTGCTGTGGCCCGGGAGTGCAGTGGAGAATGGCCCAAGTGCTTGGGCCTTGCACCCCATGGGAGACCAGGAGAAGCACCTGGCTCCTGGCTTCGGATCAGCACCGTGCACCGGCCACAGCAGCCATTGGAGGGTGAACCAACGGTAAAGGAAGACCTTTCTCTCTGTGTCTCTCTCTCTCTCTCACTGTCCACTCTGCCTGTCCAAAAAAAAAAAAAAAAGAGGAAGCTGTCTGATTTCGAATCCTCACTGCATCCCAGGGCCGTGAAGGGACAGGACAACTTAAAAGACCCAGCTAATGTTGGGCGAGAGCCTGGCTGAGGCACCCTCATCTCCCAGGCAGGCGCCAGGCCGGGGCTTCCCTGCCTTCTCCCAGCGAGCGCTCCCAGCTCCTATGGTGCCCATTTCCCAGATTGGATAGAGCAGCCGAGGCCCATCACACAGCTGTACTGAAGCCTGAAAGGGAGGAAGCACGTTTGAGAACATGGTGTCCCCGTGTTCCTGTGTTCATCGGGTTTCTTTTCTTTCCTTTTCTCTTTCCTTCCTCCCTCCCTCCCTCCCTCCCTCCCTTCCTTCCTTCCTTTCGAATCCATATTCAAGCTGAGTTAACCGAAAAACAGAATTTGGTTTGGTTCCGTTTTGTGCAGCTAACCAGGGGCCACTGGTTTCTCACGTTGCTGGCTCCAGATGGAAAAAAGGTGTTCTCAGACCGTGGTGCCTTGTGCCACCCCTCTGCTCCGCTTTCCTCCCCGTCTCCCTCCTGCCCTTCAGTCCTGTCCATCTGGGGATTCCTGGAGGTCTGGTTTATTCGCTTATTGATTTTTTATTTATTTAAAAGGCAGAGTGATGCGTCAGAGACAGAGAGGGATCTTCCATTAGCTGGTTCACTTCCCCAAATGGCTGCAACAGCTGGGGTTGGACCAGGCTGAAGCCAGAAGCCTGGAGCTCCATCCGGGTCTCCAAGTGGCGGGGGCCGTCCTCTGCTGCTTTCCCCAGGCGCATTAGCAAGCAACCTGGAGCAGAAGTGGCACAGCCGGGACTCGAACCGGCACTCATGCGGGAGGCTGGTGTCTCAAGCGGCAGCCTAACCCTGCTGCACCGCAGTGCTGGCCCCCGGAGGGCCTGGGTATAGAAACAAGCATTTCCGCTTCCTTCAGATCCCACAGCTGTTCCAGAGCCTTTAACCAATCCCCATGGATCGTGTGGGTGAGGAAGGAGGGAGGCGAGAGGTGGGAAATACAGCTCCGGCTAGGCCCGGCCATCAGCCCAGCGCCGGAGCCTGGGGAGAGGTGCCAGCCCTGCCAACACTGTGGATGGGCCTGGGGCGCTTCATCAGGGTCCCCCAACCAGGAGGAGGCGGGCTGGCAGGCCGAGTGAGCACCGGCCGGAAGCAGCGCTGGCCCTGTCACCTGCAGGGTCCCCAGACGCACTGCCGAGGGCGCTGAGACGGGGGAGAAATCCCACAATGAATTTCCGTTTGTGTAAACACTAACTGATACCTCAGAGGCACGTGGATACAGAACGTGGATGTTCGCTCTAAAGGGAGAGAAATGGCTCTCGGAGCGGCCCCGGTTTAGACGGGCTCCCGGTGCATCTTGCCAGGCAAACAGAGGCGCCAGGCGGGGGAGAGGCCAGGCTGCGACCCTTTTGTTTTCACAAGGGAAAGTGGCATTTCTCCTGCCCCCTCTCATCCACGTCCACTCCTTGCCCTGCATCCAGACCTGTCCCTGTCCCACGAACGGCACCCGGAGCCCCTCTGTAACGGGGGCAGTGGCCTGCTCCTGAGAGTCCCAGGGGGAAAAGGTGGCGCCCAAGCGCCGGGCGCTTCTGTTCCGATCTGGGTTCCAGCAGGTGGGGGGCAGAGGCCGAAGCTCATTCGTCCTCCGTCTCCATCCCCTGGAGCCTGGGCGCTGAAGGGGCCATCCCTCCCTCCTGTCGCAGGCCTGCAGCTGAACTTTACGGCCTCGTGGGGGGACCTGCACTACCTGGGCCTCACCGGCCTAGAAGTGGTGAGCCAGGACGGCCAGGCCCTGCCCATCAGCCTGTCCCAGATCTCTGCCTCCCCCAGAGACTTGAACGACCTCCCGGAGTACACGGACGACTCCCGCACCCTGGACAAGTGAGTAGCATTGCTTTCAGGACAGCAGGGGGCCGGGGCGGGCAGTGGCGGGGTGGGGGGGACCCCGTTCTGTCTCTTCGACCTCAGGCACAAGCATCAAGTGACATCCCATGGATCGCCTGCTCTTGGCCGTCCTGCAGTCAAGGCCCTGTGGCCGAGGGAAACTGAGGCTGGGGAGAGGAAGGCGATCCCCTGCCCCCACAGGGCCGCCAGGGTCTTGTGCCCGCAGACAGAGCTGTGATCAGTGTATTCCCCACCATGCTGAGCGCCACGCCTCACACACAGGCGCCGGCTCTGCATTCACGTGTGAGCAACCCCAGCCCCCTGGCGAGGGTTGGAGGTCATTGCCAGGGAGGCCTCTTTGTGCTGCATTTGTCAGAGTTCCTAAGCCAAGGGTGGATGCAGTCAGTAACTGGACAAGCCACAGCGAGGCATTGTTCCCCGGGGACTCTGTCACCCCCTGCTCCGGGGCCTAGGCCCTGCCTGGCGCTATGAATGAGGGGAGGCATCCAGGGAATCAGAGGGACAGAAGTTCAAATCCCACCTCTGCCCCATGCCACCCATAGGTAAGTTTCGTAACCTTTCTAGTAATAGCGATGATGGTGATGATGATGATGGCGGTCATACCTGGTGTTGGAACTAGGTCGCTGGCGGGCTCCCGCCTGCTCCCCCAGAAGATGGCCCTCACCCCCTGCTGGCGCCAGCCGCCCTTGGGCCACTGCCACCTCGCATCCTGGCAGGCCCCCTCCCGGGGACATAGACACGGAACCTGTGCACCCAGCTCCAGGCCCAGCCTGCTCATCCAGCCCTCTGCCCAAATGGGCTCACAGCAAATCCCCAGCCTGCTTGCATTTCCCCCTCAATACCCTGGTCTCTAAACCACAGGACTCAAAATGTCATCTCTGTCAGCGTGACTGCGATGAATGTCATCTCAGGACCGGCTCTGAAAACCTCACGGGGATCCCTTGCGTTCCCAGGCCCACAGCAGGGTTGTATTCTCCCTGCCTCTCTACCTCGGTCTTTTTAGCCCAGTTTGCTTGCCTGGGACTCCCCGTGAGGTCCAGCATCAGGACGGATTGAGATGTCTGTAGCCTGCCATCACCGCTCCCATAGGTCCAGTTTTTTCCCTTGTAAATCGCTGTGGAAGGAAGCAGGGTTTTTTTTGCCCTGTGCAGTCTGGGTTTTACAGGCTGCATCTTGATGGTGCTGTTTAGCCTGTCCCTCGCTCCCTGTGTCTCCGGTGTACAGACCTCGTCAGATTGAGGTGTCGCTCTGGGGACAAGATGATGGCCTGGAAGTTGCAGTGCGTGGCCCCTTATCCATGGGGCATCCGTCCCAAGAGCCCCGGCAGGTGCCTGATACCGCAACAGTCCTGAGCCCTGTACATGCCAGGCATACCCCTGATAAAGTTCACTTTATAAATTAGGCCCAGGGGGCTGGCACTGTGGCACAGCAGGTTAACGCCCTGGCCTGAAGTGCCAGCATCCCACATGGCTGCTGGTTCCAGACCCAGCTGTTCCACTTCCGATTCAGCTCTCTGCTATGGCCTGGGAAAGCAATGGAAGATGGCCTAAGTCCTTGGGCTCCTGCACCTGTGTGGGAGACCTGGAGGAAGCTCCTGGCTCCTGGCTTCGGATGAGCTCAGCTCTGGCCATCGCAGCCATCTGGGGAGTGAACCAGTAGAATGGAAGACCTCTCTCTGGCTCTCCCCCTCTTGTAACTTTCTTTCAAATAAATAAAATAAATCTTTAATAAATAAATAAATTAGGCCCACTAAGAAATTAACAACCATAAATCATAAGAAGATAGAATAATTGTGATAACATGTCCTAATAAGAGCTATTGAAAACTTTAGAAATTATTTCTTTCTGGAATTTTTCATGTAGTATTTTTTGGACCCGGGCATCTGAGACTGTGGCGAGTAAAACTGTGGGTAAGGGGCGGCAGCTTCTGTGCATGGCGTGGCTGCCAGGGTCGTGGCGACGGTGGCTGCCAGTGACACCCGCTGTCTGCAGCTGCCTCCCTCTCAGGGAACCTTCCAGGCCTGCTGGCTGGCCCTTCTCCCACTCATCTGCTGACGTTACGGCAGGAAAGAGAGCCCTTCCCTTCACCGTTTGTGGACTTGTCCGATTCCCACAGGAAAGGCCTCCTCAACACTTCGGTTTGCGCACCCTCGTTTTTTTTCAGTTTTTGGAGTAACAAGGTGTATCTCTAGCACCCTCGGAAACATTTGTCAGTTTCTTTTGGAGCTCATTAGAAACGCATGAGTGTAGACGAAGAATTTTAATCCATCGCCATTTTTATCCTTACTGATGCCCAGATGATTCTCCCCTGTTGGGCACTGGGGCTCCATTTATTTATTTATTTATTTATTGACAGGCAGAGTGGACAGTGAGAGAGACAGAAAGAAAGGTCTTCCTTTGCCGTTGGTTCACCCTCCAATGGCCGCCACGGCCGGCACACTGCGGCCGGCGCACTGCACTGATCCGAAGGCAGGAGCCAGGTGCTTCTCCTGTTCTCCCATGGGGTGCAGGGCCCAAGCACTTGGGCCATCCTCCACTGCACTCCCTGGCCACAGCAGAGAGCTGGCCTGGAAGAGGGGCAACTGGGACAGAATCTGGTGCCCTGACCGGGACTAGAACCCCATGTGCCAGCGCCGCAAGGCGGAGGATTAGCCTATTGAGCCACGGCGCCGGCCCCTTTTATTTATTTTTATTAATCAGTTAATTTATTTGAAAGGCAGAGCAGCCGAGAGAGAGGGAGAGAGAGATCTTCTTCCATCACTGGTTCACTCCCCAAATGGTTGCAACACTGACACTAGGCCAGGCCAATGCCACCAGCCAGAAATTCCCTCCCGGTCTCCCACGTGGGTGGCAGGGGTCTACGCACTGGAGCCATCTTCCGTTTCCTTGCCAGGTGCATTAGCAGGGCCCCGGATCAGAAGTGGAGCAGCTGGGCCTTGGAACCGGCATTGCTGACCTCATAAGCAGCTGCTAAACTTGCTGCGCCCGCCGCAGTGCCAGCCTCTCCCCGCCTCTAAGTCCCCTGAGAGGCCTCATCTCTGCCAGCTTCCTCAACTCCTGAGGGGTCAGGAGGCTCCAGGATCCTCGTGTCTGTTTCTTGTCCAGGACCAGCAATCCAGCTGTTTCCCTGAGAGGCCCTGGTCCCTGTGTGTGGGAAATGGTAGTTAGAGGTCATAATCCAGCCAGTGGGGATGCTCACTGCTGCTGGGATGGCCCCTGTTTCTAGCCAACGCTGGGAATCCATGTGGATTCCTGAGGGCGTCCCTGCCCTGCCAGCTGTCCATGCCGGGGGCCATCGTCTGCATGGCCATGCATCTGCTTTGCCGCGGAGGTGACCCCACTTCTAGGACCGACAGGAAATAAGGTTCTCCAGTGACAGCGCTCAGCTCAGCTCCACACACGCCCAGCTGTGAGCGGCTGAACTGTCTCAGTTCCAAGGTGCCAGCCGCTGTAAGACGCACCATCCATCAATTTAGTAACAGCCTTTTAGAGCAAGAGAGAAACACGACCTCTTTGGATGAACGCTTCGACTGTTAAGATTTATGCCAAACCCCAAACTCAGAAATGTAAAAAAGAAACAAAAGTTTATTTTAAAATCCAAAACACATGGCAGCAGCCTGCATTGTCCGGGATTCCAGGGATATGGAGGTGGGGGGCGGGGCTGATGGCTGGACCCAAGTCCCAGGGACCAGGGCCTGGAGTCTGGGCTGAGCCGCACTGGGAAGTCCAACGTAGCCTGAGGCAGGAGGGTCCTTGGAACAATGGGCAGAGTCTGGAAGGGGAAGGCAGGATATCCCATGTAGGGGGACCACCTGCTGGCAAGGACGGGCTTGTCTGGGGCCAAGGAGACAAGTTCAGAACAGTGGCTGGGAAGAGCTTGGGTGCTGGGGGCTCCTGCCTAAGGCCTGGGGCTTCCGTGGGATGCCCAGGCCTGTGGCTGTGGAGCACGGTGAGGCCAGACCAGCTAGAGTCACCTGCCCCTTCCTGTCTTTGTCCCCAGTCAGGAGCTGTCAAGTCCATCCAGTGCTTGCCCCTCTCTGTCCTGTAGCGTGAGGAAGGGACACGCTGCCTTCAGTTTTAGACAGTCTGGGACGTACAGAGAAGAGTCTCCTTCATCCCCCTAACCCGCAAACACCTGTGCTTCCACCTCGTCTCCCCTGGGCCTCGTCTTCGTCTCCCAGGCTCACGGTCTGCGTCCCTGTGTCCAGGCCTGCCTTTCCCTGCTGCTGCAGCGTCCTCACGGCCCACAGGCCACTGTGCACACCTGTCTCACCCCCCGCCCCGGCTCCAGATCTTTTATTGTCTTTTTTTTTTTTTTTAATTTTTATTTTCTTGCCAGGATAAATAACACTGTTGTGAACATCTTTAGGCAGAGAGCCTTTCTGATGTGTGGAGTAGATTTTCCAAATGGGCAAGGAAAATCCCAGCAATGGAATCAGGGGGCTAAAGGCTTCAGAAAATGGCCCCTGCTCCCTCTCTCAGCTCCGGGACCGCCTGGGCTACCCCTCTCCTCCCTGCAGACGCCCTCTGATCTCAGATGAGAGACGCCCCTCACTCTTGGCCTCCTTGGTCTCTATGCCGCCCCTTCCTGAGCCCGATCCAGCTGGGCTAGCGCTGGGCAGGGGGCTGCGATGGGGTGGCGGGGGAGGGCTGAGCGGGCACCGGCCCCCTGGTGATCCCTACCCTGCCCCCCTCTCCGGCCCCGCCTCCTGCAGATTGATCGACGGCACCAACATCACCACGGAGGATGAGCACATGTGGCTGACCCCCTTCTCGCCGGGGCGGGACCACCTGGTCACGATCCACTTCGACAGAGCCCAAAGCATCGCCGGCCTGCGCTTCTGGAACTACAATAAATCTCCCGAGGACACGTACCGCGGGGTAAGCCGGCGACGGCGGCCGCTGTCAGGGAAGCGGCTCCTTGATGAATGGCCGGCGTGGCAGCGGAGAGGAGCATAAATCCACCCGAACTTTCCAGATGGAGCCCGGGCTGACACCCAGCAAGCAAGGTGGGAGAGAGCCGGCTTCTGGTTCCTCCCGCAAACAGCAGGCGCAGACCCAAGAGCCACGGGCGGCCTCAGGCGGACGGGCAGCGTCAGAGCCCTGTGGCTTCTGGTCTTGGGGGCAAGGGGAGGCGGGAGGGGCATCCGCCACAGCCCCCCACCCCTCATGCAGGAAGCAGTGCAGCGCCAGGCCCATGCTGAGAGCCGTTTTGTTGGCTGCGCTGCGCAGGCTCTGGGAAGCAGGTGCAACGCCCCCATCTCACAGGGCAGAAAGGTCCTGAGGCCCACCCAGGCCGGCCAGACTCTGTGCATGCGCCTGTGACGCCCCCGCCTCCCTACCCCACCCCCCCGTGCTCTAACCTGGCTGGGGGCTTCTAAGAAGGAGTCAGCGTTTGTCCCTCCCCTGCTGAGGCCACAAGCCCAGTCACACGGCGAGGCCCGGGGACGGGCATCGGAGCCTCAGCTCTGCCCGCTGCCAGTGACCTGATTCTCCCGGGCTGGTGTCGCCTTTGCCACACCACAGCTGACAAAGCAAGGACACAGTCTCAGTGGACCCTGAGCCCCCGGTCCTCCCGGCGTGGCAGGGGCAGAGCCAGCTGGGTGTCCCTGTGCCGCAGGGGTCCTGGCTCTCCCTACCTGCAAGGCTGAACCCGGAGCGCCTGCCTCCCAGATCTGGCCCAGCAGCCTTGGTGCCGGGGCCGGCGGCCACATGGGGCTGAGGGAGACGAGAGAGGCACACGTGGCCTGCGAGGACAGATTGCCTGGCGCAGCGGAAAAGACGGGGTGACTCCTGTTCCCACAGCCCCTGGCAGGTGTTCAAAAGCCAGGGCCTTGGACTCCTGGGACGGGGCTTCAGAGCCCTTCGGGGGGCCCTGGGCAAATGGCTTTGCCTCTGACCGAATCTCCCCAGCTCTAAGCGGGCGTGAACAGAGCGCAGGGGCCCAGCTCTGCCTGGGGAAGACAGGGGTGCTGCCTGGAGGAGGAGGTGCGGCCCTGGAGGGAAGACAGGAGCTTCCTGGGCCTCTGTGTTGCTGGATTCACCTTCCGCGACTCCGGCCAGCGGGCTCCAGCCTGGCAGCCGCAGGCTCAGCTCCTGCCAGCGCCGTGTCCAGCAGAGCAGAGAGCCAGCAGAAACCCGGGAGTCAGCGCCGAAGGAGCCGGCCTGGCCCAGGCTGGGAATCCCCTTGTCCCCACCCCAGAAGAGGGCAGAAGGGAGAGACACAGAGGGCGGGACCAGAGCCTGGGGACAACGGAGCCAGGAGCCAGGCTCACTGTTCTGTGCAGGCATCGAGGCTGGCCGGCCCCTCCCTACCCCTGCCCTTAGCACGGACTTGGGCAGATCCTGGACACCTAGAATTAGGGGTGGGGCCAGAGGAGGGCTGGCCCAAATCCCTGTGGAAATAGCAAGCCCTTAGACAGATAGGGGGATGGTCTGGCTGGCGTCTGTGCCACCGAGAGACCCAGTGACCACTGAGGACGCTGCTGGCCAGCACCTGCCCAGAAGGAGGCACTGAGCGCCGGGAAAGGAGGGACAGGCGGCTCCTGCTGGCCCAGGGGTAGTACAGGGAGAGGTGTGGACCCGTGGGCTGGTCTGGAGCAGCAGCACCACAGGTCAGCACAGGGAGAGATTTCATGCCAGCCACTGTTCAGGGCACTTTGCGCAGACAACTCATCGTGTGCCCATTTAACAGATGAGGAAGGTGAGGCCTGGGGAAGCTCCGTAACTTGCCCAGCTACCACTAGTGGCAGGTGTCAGAGCCCCTGCGTGCACGCCCTTGGCCGTCACGCCATTCCCCAGCAGGCTGCTGCCGCTGGCGAGGCCGATGAGGCCTGAAACTTGGGGGCTGGGAGTGGATGCTGGAGTCTGCAGACGGCAGGGGCCTCCGCTCTCTGCCCAGAGCAGCCTCGGACGTGGAGGAGGGGTGATGCTGGGGGTCGGACCTTGGTCTGGGAGCAGGCTACCCGCCCCCCATCTCTCGCCCCCACGCGACTTCCTGTCCTTGAGCAGAGCTTGCTTTCTTGTCGGCCAGGCCAAGGTCGTCCACGTGTCCTTGGATGGCTCGCGCATCTCCCCTCCGGACGGCTTCCTCATCCGCAAGGGCCCAGGCCACTGCCACTTCGACTTTGCCCAGGAAATGCTGTTTGTGGACTACCTGCAGGCTGGGCCACGGCCAACCCAGCCCGCCAGGAGGTGAGCGCGTGTCTGGGGCCTCCGGGGGGCGGGGGTAGGCGTGCACAACCATTCGTAAACGCTGAGTTTACCCCTGTAAACCACACCCCCCCAACCACGTCCAAATGCCACAGGCCACGCGTGCGAAACACAGTGGCTTTTCCCTCCACTGTAGCTGGTCGTGGGGAGCAGTAGCCTCGAGACGGAGGGGGAGCCGGGGAGGCCGAAGGGTACCACCCACAGACCAGGCAGAAAATCTCAGGGGAGGAGGAGGAGGGGTGGAGGGGGGTGAGGGGAAGAGGAGGGGCCTCTCCCGCCTCAGGGCCAGCTCTGTGCCTGCTGCTCCCAACCACGTGTTGAAGTAGGGGGTGTTACACCCATTTTACAGATTTGTAAACTGAGGCCAAACCCTTCAGCTCCCCCCCACTTCCCTCTGCCCACCATGCCCCTGGCACTCGAGTCCCTCTGGCTCCTGTCTGGGGCAGACACCCCCTGCCCAGCTCCTAACCCCCACAGGGCCTTTGCTCTGCCCCTCCCCTGCCTGGAAGGCTCCCTGTGGCCCCGCCCACAGCTGCCTCCTCGGAGAAATGTAAGGTAGCCTGGCGCCCCTGCCCGTCCTGTCCCATACAGCGTGGGCTCTCTGGGGCAGGCAGCAGGTGGGGCAGTGGTCTCCCCACCCCGGCAGCCTCAGGTCACAGTCCCTCCCGCCAGCCACCAGCCGCGCGGCCCTGAACAGTCACCGTGTCTCCCTGGGCCCCTCTGCTTGGCCTTCCCTGGGCCGTCCGGATCTTCACGGAGCTGTGTTTTGTCTTCTCAGGCCTGACACGCAGAGCCTGGAGCGGCCGAGCATGGACTACGAGGCCCCGCTGATGCCGTGCGGCTGTATCCTTGTCCCATCACCAGCACCACCCCCACCCACGGCAGGATCTGGGCTGCCGAACCAGCAGGAGCGCAGCACAGGGAAACTGAGGCAGGGGATGGCAGGGCTCCCGGGGCTCTCGGAGGAGGCGGCACCAGAGCCTTCAGCTGGGAGGGGCTGCAAAGCTGAGCTGACCACCTGGCCTGGGCTCCTGCCGGCCTGCTCCTGGGAGCACAGGGCTAGGAGAGGGCTCTGTGCTGGCCACGGCCACCACTCCTGGTGCCCACATCTCCCCGTTTAGCCCCCCGTGGGCGGGAATGGGTGCTCTGTTCTTGTCATTTTACAGTCAGGGAAACTGAGGCACAAGCCTCTGTTGAGCCCCCCATCCTGCATGCTCTCTAACCCCGCCCCCGCCCCCTACTCCTGTCCCCAGGGGGAGGGGGCCTGGAGGTGGGGAGGGGGTTTCACGGCACAGGAAGAGTTTAAAGGCAAAGAATCTGGTGCCACGTTTATTTTGATAGACCTCAGTCTCAGCAAGAGAGGAAACGTGTGTCTTTCATCGGGATCATCCCCCTGTCGCCGCCCCGCCCCGCCCCTCCAAATCCTGCCTGTCACCTCAGCCTTTGTTCTGCCCCTCCTCCTTAATCCGCGCTGCCAGTCATTTTCCAGTTCCAGCTGCTCACCAGCTGGGGCGACCCCTATTACATTGGCCTCACGGGCCTGGAGCTGTATGACGAGCGGGGAGAGAAAATCCCCCTATCCGAGAACAGTATCCTTTACCCGCGGGCCGGGGTGGGGCAGCGCGGGGTGCAGCCAGGCCGGGCCCCCAGGAACCAGCGCCCCAGGCTTCAAAATGCCACTGGGCTCTGCCGCCCCAGCCACGCCTGGCAGGACACCACGAGCCGGAGGCCGCCCCCAGAGAAGCGCAGGCTCTTGGCTGTCCAAAGGCTCTGACAAGGTCTGCAGCAGTGAGGAGGGGGTTACCGCACTGCGTTCCAGGCTGTGTGAGCTTAACCCAGGAGCCCTGGGCTCATGGGTTGCCTGCCCCAGCGTCTGTCCACTGTGAGCCCATGAGCCCTTCCAGATATCTGACATGAGCTGCCGATGTTTCTAGAAACCAGGGCTCGGCACATGGTGCCCCGTTGGCTCTCGTGACAGTGCTGTGGAGTGAGCGCTGTTGCGCCCCGTTTCACCCAGCCCCACCCTGTGCCCCTGCCCCTGGCCACTCCGGGAGCACCGCATGCCCAGCCAGCTCTCTCTGCTCCCCTCCCTGTGAACTTGAACCTGGCCGCCCCTGCACAGCCACGCACCCCGGGCTCTCGTCCTCCCCAGAGCGGGTCTAATGCAGCTATGCCCTCTTCCACCGCTGCCCAGAGCAGCAGGCCCACCAGCCCCGGGGCCCCGCGCGCCGGCCATACACGCAGCTCCTGGGTTACAGCCTCCTGGACACAGCCTCAGACATCGCCGCCTTCCCGGACAGCGTGAATTCGCTGGAGGGCGTGTGCGGGGACGCCCGCACCCCCGACAAGCTCATCGACCAAGTCAATGACACCAGCGACGGCAGGCACATGTGGCTGGCTCCCATCCTGCCTGGCCTGGTGCGTGCCTGGGGGCGGGGACAAGCCGGCCCTCAGAGGGGTCAGGTGGTCGCTGGCGGCCAGCTGGGGCCACTCCCAGCCCCGGCAGCCCTGAGACCTGGCTGCAAACAGGGCCACAGGTGTCACCTGCAGGTGTGTGCCACTGTCTGGCGCCCCGAGGCCACAGGGCTGGATGCTCCTGTTGGAGCCCTGAGGGCGGCTGAATTTGATAACCCTGACCTTCACTGTTCCCGGGGCACACCCATACGGGCCCCACCCCCACCCCCAAGCCCTCCCCGACCCCTCCCACTCCAGACACCCCGAGCATGGCCACAGGCCGAGACCAAGGGTCTGGGGCCCACGTGGAGTTTTTGCTTCTTCCTTCGGTCTTGCATGGGGGCCCTAATATTTGAGAGCCCTGAGCGGGGGTTGGGGGGAAGGGGTGGCCGGTGGAGGCCGTGGGGGTCTTCCTTTCCTAGCTGGCTTCAGCCACGCCGGCTCTTCACCCCTGCAGCCAGGGGTCAGGGACAGAGGCTTGGCTTTGCATTTCTGAGCGGGAGAGAGGACAGACAGGGGTCAGAGCCCCGTGGATTCCTTGGGGGTGGGCAGGCAGTGTCTGGGCCCGATCCAGGGGGAAGGCCAGGGGCAGTCCCAGCTGGCCGCGGGCACTTCCCCGTGGGCCACGCCAGACTCAAGAACACAGGCCCTCCCCGCGCCAGCTCAGCGGTTTGCTGCAAACGCAGCCACACGTGCTCCGATTCCAGATGGGCTCGGAGGAGGCGAGAGGCGGCAGTGGGGATTCCGGGCCCGGCCACCTGGGCAGCGCCGTGGGGCGCAGCCCCTGCCCATGTCTGGTGCCCCTGCTTCCAGACATGCCCATCTGCTCCCCGGCAGGTGAATCGGGTGTACGTGATTTTCGATCTGCCTACCACCGTGTCCATGATCAAGCTGTGGAATTACGCGAAAACACCGCATCGCGGGGTGAGGGAGTTTGGCGTAAGTACTTACCAGCTGGGTTTGGGGCTCTGGGGTTTTTTGGAGGTAATTATGCTTATTGGTAAGTAGGCTGCCGGCAGGCACCATGTGTGGCAGTCTGAGTGCGGGGAGATCGGCACCCACCTGTGAGTTCCAGACCCCGGAGCTGCCGCCCAAATCCACCTGCCTTTTCTCTTCTGTTCTGATTTTTTGCTTTTGGTGGGAGATGACTTTGGGACGAGGAAGAAGCAGGGTCCAGGGACCTCCCAGCTCGGCCACCTGGGCTACCCATAGCTAAGGGTTTTTCATGGGATTCGTAGGCCCTTCGCACCTCGGTTTGCACAGCTGCAGTATGGGGCGAATAGCACTTGCCTTTCCCGCTGGCTGTGAAGACCCCGAAATCACGCGGGCCCGGGACCTGGTGGGCTCAGGGAGGTGACGCCCGTCTCCCAGAGGCCCGCCGGTGGGTGTGGCAGGGAGGACGCGGAGCCCACCAGCCCTGGGGCTGTCTCTGCAGCTCCTGGTCGACGACCTGCTCGTGTACAATGGGATCCTGGCCATGGTGAGCCACCTGGTGGGTGGCATCCTGCCCACGTGTGAGCCCACAGTGCCCTACCACACCATCCTCTTCACGGACGACGCGGGCACCTGGCACCAGGAGAGACGCACCAGCGTCAGGTACGTCCCGGCCCGCAGCCCCAGGCAGGGTGGGCAGCGGGGGCCATGCAGCGGGGGCCCGACGCGACCTCCTGTCTCTGCCCCCCCCCCCCCAGCACCCAGGTAGAGGACCAGGATGTGCAGCTGACGAACGAGAACCAAATCGTGACGAACGCCAAGAGGAAGCCGGGTGCCGTCGACCCAGGTCAGCCTCCTCCCTCTGCCAGCTCCTCCCGCTCCCTTCCGCCTGGTCCTGACCCACAAGGAGCCGGCAGCCTCACCCCCACCCCTGCCCGCCCACGGGCCCCTCCCCACCACCCAGAAGCCTGCCGAGGGGGCGGGGGCGGGGGCGGGGGCAGGTTGGGCGGGTGGGGGGAGGCAGAACCTCCCTGAGCAACAAATGACCTGCTCGCAGGCACGGTGTGGCCTGTGTAAGCCCAGGGCTGCAGGTGCAAAGGGAGAAAGGTGTTCAGAGGAAACCAGTAGGGGATGCCAAGGCGAGGGCTTCCTGGAGGAGGTGACATTTGCACTGGGTCCCAGGGATGCGAGGCACAGGCATGCCCAGGGCCTACTCCAGGCAGAGAGGACGGGCCGGGGGCCGGGCCAGGGGCCGGGTGTCTGAGGGCCTGCGGGCCGCCTAAGCCGTGGGTTTTCCCAGAGACTGTGCAGCACTCTCGCCCCCCAGCAGCTGGTAACTGGCCACCCCCGTGCTCTGCCCTGACAGCCTTACGCCCCAAAACCTGCCTAAGCACGAAGGAGCCGGCGAGACGGTGGCGGTGCTGACCCACGGTGCAGAGGGAGAGCCGGCTGCCAGCTCGCGGGCGCTGCGGCCGGGACACGGGGGCCTGCCGTTCCGGGCTGCCGGGGCGATCCCCGCCCGCCTCCCACAGCCGCGCCGGGCTGACGGGTGGGGGCACGGCGGGCAGACCAGGGACACTGTGTCTTCCCTAGGGTAGCCAGCGCACAGCCCTGCCTCCTCCGGGGGCTCAGGGGCCAGTCTCTCACCTGGGTGCCCAGTGTCCGTCACGGTGGCCACGCCCCACTCCCTAGGGGAGCTCATGCTGCGTGGGCCCCTTAGGGTGGGTGTCCTGCTGGGGTCCCCACGGTGCTGTAGCCAGGCCGCCAGGGGAACGGCAGAGCCCACCCAGATGCTGTGTGGACGCAGAGGCGCTGAGCGGGGCGGGACACTGCACCCCACCTGGGGCCCCGCACACCGCAGCCCACCTTGTACTTGAACTCAGCCTGGAGGAGCCGGTCCCCACTGCACTCCCCGGCCGCCCCTTCCGGATCTGTTCCACGGCCCTCCCTGGTCGCTCCTCCCTGCCTGTCAGTGCCCTGCGCCCCTGAGGCTCTGCCGTGGGGTCCCCGGCTCTCCGGGCCCTCCCTGCCCCCCGCACTCCCCCCCGCCCCGCCAGCAAATCCCAGCGCCCTGGAAGTGAGCCCAGCGCCGCCGCCGAGCGACGCCCCGCGCGCATCTGTTTCCATCTCTGTAACAAGCTCGGATCGGGGGCCTAATTGGTTTCCCAGGGGTGGGTAATTTCTCGTTCCAAATATTAATCCATTGTGTGGCTGGCACGCAGCCCGGCCCGGGTGCCAGTGCGATCCTATGCGGCCGAGCGCCCCGCGGATACGGGCGGGGGTGTGGCTATGCGGATGGGCTGCTGTGCGGGTGCGATCCATCACTCCTCGGGCTTACGTGGCTCCCAGGAGAGATCCAACCAGCTCCCAGGCCCCCAGTCGGGGCCGTGGCTCTTAGAGGGAGCCTCAGGCGCGGGGACGCGGGGGACCCTGGACCAGCTGCACATGTGGGGGAGACAGCCGGGGCGCCGCGCGCGGCCCTTGGCTCCCACGCTCCCGCCGATGTTGCTAATGACTGGATGGATGCACAGCTTTAGGAAGCGGGGAAGAGAAGCTATACAGGCGTTAACGCTAACATAAATTTCTATTTTTTTCTTCTTGCAAAATCAATAAAAGATGTTATTAAGGCTGCAGCCTGATGCGCTGGAATGGGGTCAGATGGCGGGAGCCCTGAGTCAGCGCTTGCAGGAAGCAGCCGCGCGAAGCCAAGGGCCTGGGCCGAGCCCCTTCCCCACCTGCAGAGTTGGGGGGGGACCCTGGCTCAGCCTGCTTGTGGGGTCGCTGTGCCCAGCACACGGCAAGCAGCCCCTGCACGTGGCGTGGTTACCGTGAGCCCGGCGCTGCACGCTGAATCCATGCACAGCCCCATGGGAAAGGATGCTCCCATCACCCCCTTTCACAGAGAGCACAGAGAGGCTGTGCGATGTGCCTAGGACACACAGCCTCAGAAGCCGGAAGTGACCACGTGACCATCCGTGGGTCTGTCAAGGGCCTGGGGTCTCCCTTCTCCAGGAGGGGGTCCTGGAACAGGAGCCCCCAGGTGCTGGGCGCCTGGGCCCCCTCCCCACTTCCCCCCAGCCCCCCGCTCCCTTCAGGGCTGAGTGTCGGGGGCTCTTAGCTTCTGGGTAAAGCAGCCCTTGAAAGGGGGCTGCGTTGAGGGGGTAGTGGCACCAGGTAGGAGGGACCTTTTGGGGCTCCCCGAGTCCCTGGTACTGGGGAGAAGAGAGAAGCCTTCAGCCCCACAGGCGAGGCCCTGGCCCCACGTGTGCGGGGAACATGCAGGGACCTTCCTGGCTCCTAGGAGGGGCCCCATGGGTGTGGCCACCCTGGTGTGGAGAGCGATCCCCCCTCCCCGCCTCCCTGCAGCCGCGCTGGCCGGGGGCCTGGGCCTCACAGCGCCTCAGCCTCCGCAGCCCCCAGCCAGAGCCGTGCGCTGGGTCCCGGGGGCCAGGCGAGCGACCTGCGGGGACCGCGGGCCCCAGGGCCACACAGGCCCTCTCCGCGGGTGGTGCGGCTCCGGATCCTGACCGTTTTCCAGAGATACCGGCTTCGCTGCGTTTTATTTATTTTCCATGTGAACTCTAACTTTCAAATATTGACTCAACTTAAACAAGCAAACGGAGTAAGCCCAGTACCGCGTGTCTGTGGCAGGCTGGGGTCCGTCCCCCACAGTGTGTCACCCACCTGCCTCTGCGGGGACATCAGCCCCTCCCTTGCTGCCCGCCCAGCCCCCACCCCGAGCTGCAGACTCCTGGGAGGAAGAGCAGGGAGGGGACCCCCCCCCGGCCCCTCAGCCCCTGTCTGTGCAGACAGCCCCCCGGGTCACTGGAGTGGCCCTTTGGGTCCTGGGGGTGGGGGGCTTCCCCTCTGGGATCTCCACAGCCCCTAGTCCTGGCCGGGTTACCGGACCCAGACCTGGGCTTGGCTGCCCGGGTCTGGCTGACTGCCGGTCTAGGCAGTGTTGGGTTTTGTTAATCAGTTAACCCTGGTCTGCCGTGAGAGTTCACGTGCAAGGTCAGATACCCCGCCTCCCTGGGAAGATGAGAAGACCTGGCAACCCGGGTCCCCTGTCCCCAGCTGGACCCGGCACCTGGGCAGGCAGGGCCCCCTGGCACCCCAGTCCCGCCTTCAGCCCCTGTCCTCACCTCACTGGCATAACCTGCACAGCCTGAGGGCGCTCTGGGGCCCGGGGCTTCACTGTCTGGTGTCCACACTGGCACCAGCCAGGCCAGGGGGACTGGGGAAGAGAGGCGGGGGCTGGCCTCTGCCCAGGGCAAGGTTTGTGTCCCCAAGGAACCTGGGGGTGTCTGCCACTTGGAGCAGGTGCATGGGGGTGTGCCGGGTCTCTGGGTGCTGTGTGGTGCTCGGACACCGCTTCCAGTCTCCCAGCCTCTGCCTCTGGCCGCCATATTTTGTGATCATCACAGCCAGTACAGACCAGCACCGGGCCCCTTGGCAGGTGCGTCACCAAAGCCAGCCGTCAGCAACATCACAGGCTTCAGCGGCAGGCGCGGTTCTCAGGGCCTTTGCACATGCCACCCTTGCGGTTCCCTGGTCTAAATCAGAGCCTCCTTGGCTCGCCTGCGGACTGCGCCTCACTGTTCGAGGGATGGCCGTGTTACGAGGGTTATTTGCATCTCCCCCAGACTGTGCACCCCGTGAGGGGGGCGGTGGTGTCTGTGGAGTCCCCTTGCACAGCCCGGTGCCTGGCACTTGAAGCTCCCTCGGTGACTAGCTCCTGCGTGAGTAGGGCCCACGGCAGGTCAGGGGTGGACTCAGGACTCGAACCCAGGCTCCTGACAGACCGCCACCCCGGGCGCATTCTTCAGCCGCGGACAAACACCCATGAATCCAGCAGATGTTTCCACTGCCAGGGGAGCTGGGCACATGGCGGGGAGCGTGGCTGGGGCGGGGTAGAGGGAGGCGGCAGGGACACAGCCTGGCCACTCCCAGAGGCCGCCTCTCACCAGCCTGTGGCCAGGGGAACGGAGCTGGGAGCACACGGCCCGCGCACGTTAGCACACGCGTGTGTGAGGTCCACCTCTGAGGCCTCCCATGTTTGTGTGTGTGTGTGTGTGACCAGGAGCACGTGTGCCCAGGCCGTGCGGCTACAGAGACGCTGGACACACGCGGTCCGGGTAGCCCCGGCTGCGTGGGAACTGCTCTGGGCTTGCTGAAGCCAGTGTATGGGCGGCCACATGGGACACGCCCGGAGCCAGCAGCCAGCCCAGCGGGGTGACACTGCATCGCCTAGCCCGGGGCAGGGCCGGAGGGCACAGGTGCTCCATCCAGGCCCCCGGATGTCACCCAAGCCGCCTTCCAACCAGGTGGCCTCAGGGGACGACCCTCTCCCCGCCTGGAAGTGCTTCCTTTGGTCCAACCAGCAGCCTTCCTACTGCATGGGGACAGTCCAGGAAGACCACCACCGCCTCCCTCCCTCCTCCCCCCTCCCCGCAGCGCTGTCCCAGGAGCCACTCCCATAGCGCAAGCAGTACTCACACGATGACTTATTTCATAGTTTTCTCAAAGCCTTTGTTCTTTTTTACTGAAATGCCTATTTTGGTTTTCTCCTAAGCAATAGTGTCTGCGAAATCACAGCGCTGATGTGCCCGTTACACATTTTTTTCTAATACACATTTACATAAACACAACTATTAAAATAGATGGAAATGTTGCCAAGGCGCCGGCTCGGCAAGGCCCCGGGGCGGGGTGGAGAGGGGGCGGGGAGAACCTGGAAGCCCCGCCCAGCCGCCCCGCCCGGAGCAAGGCTGGAGCTCCCTGTGCCCCTGTGCCCCTGTGCCCCTGTGCCCGGGGCCCTGAGCTCCCTCCCAGGCCGCGCTCCAGCCGCGGGACTTCCCGGACACATGAGTTAGCGCATCGCTCACTTGGTCCGTCAATGCACGCGTGTGTGAGCAAGCCCCTCCACCCGTGTGTCCCCTGGGCACCTCTGAAGCAGAGCCTGTCTCCCCCAGTGGCACCCACCCCACACCATGGAGTTCACGGCCCACGTTCCACTGCGCCCTCGTCAGTCCCTGCAACCCAAGTCCGCCCGGCTGCTCCCTCCCCCGGGCTACCCCCTGCTGTCACTCTGAGTGTCGCAAGGGTGCGGAAGGCATCTTTCTGGACCGTGCACCTGCTCGCATGTGGCGGCCGGCACAGGCTCTGAGTTTCCTATGCCCCCGCACCCCCAACGCCCTCCCCGGCTGGCTCCCTGCGGCCCTCCGGCCCCTGCTTGCCCCACCCACCACCTGCCGCCTGGGCTCCTGGCCTCCAATGCCACTGTCCCCGGCCGCCACTCTGCCCCACAGGTGGGTGACGTTATGGAGAGATGCGTGGTGGGTAAGGCATGAACCAAGGGACGAAGGGACAGACGATGGATGGCTGGGTGGGTGGTGGGTGGGTTGATGAATGAGGATCTGGACGGACGGATGGGCGGGTAGGTGGACAGACGGGAGCCAGATGGAGGGAGGGGTGGACGGGGAGCAAGACTCTGCTCCGAGGAAAGCTCTGGAGACCCTCCGGGCAGCGGTGTGGCCTCCTGGGAGGTCTCGGGAGCCCGGGTTCAGGGCCCAGCGCTGCCGTTCCTGGGCTCTGTAACCACCGACACCGCCCTCCCCTCATGGTTCCAAGTAGAGACACCAGGCGCAGGGCCTGAGGGTCTCCGGAGAACGGCGGCTCCTTCGCCCTCCCTTTCAGCCCCCGGCCTTGCCCGCCCTCTGGAAGCCAAGGCCGTGCTGTGCCCGAGGCGCCCTCCGTCCCCCCCATCTCTGGCCCTGGCCTCAGCACTCAGGGCTCCATGGCGGGTGATGAGGGGGCAGCCACGGCCCGGCGAGCGACTGGCCTGCACACACCGCCAGACCACAGGTTCAAGACGCATTTATTGAGCCCCTGCTGTGTGCCTGCCGCGTGACCGCCCCCTCCCCCGCTGAGCCATGTGCTGCCCCTCCTTCGGGGACCCGACTCCCTTCACCCCCCAGGGATCCGCCCCTCTGGGCGCCTCCTCAGCTTCCTGGCCGGCTGTAGCTGCCCCGGCACGCAGTGGTCAGTGGCCGTGTCCGTCCAGTGCTCCGGCCGCGCCGGCTGGGCTCTGTGCGAGGTGGCGGACGGCGATTGTTCAGGACCGCTGTCCTGAGGTGTCTGTGCGGCCGCAGGGGGCCCTGGGACTCATCCTGGCCCCCAATGTCCAGGACCCCAGGGTCCAGGCAGGCGGGAAGCACGAGCCTGGCGTCTCCCCCTACAGGCGGGCTGAGTCCACAGCACCCAGGCCGGGCTTCCGGGATGCCAGGGGGCGGTGCCAGCGACGGCCCGAGGTCCAGGGGCCGGGCTGGGGTCTCTGTCACACCCAGTGACCCAGGACCCAGCACTGGCGGCTCAGCTCGGGCGCCTCCGGTGCCGAGCTCCGAGGCCAGGAATCCCCCACGTGCGGCTGGTATCCTGCAAGAGACAAGAGGGCAGTGCCAGACAGCCCCTTCCTCCAGCCCCACCCCCGCACGCCCGTCGCCACGCCCACTCACGGGGTGGGGGGCGGGCCTCCGGCCTATCAACACACCTGCATCCAGCACCCACCCCCTCACTGACCAGGTATCCTCCCACGAGTGTCAACCTGCCCATCAACCTGTCTACACACCTCTCT